AACCAGCATTAAAGGGCGCATTTTTTGGTGTACAAACCATTATGGATGGTCGAGATCACTAAGTATCCCCTTTTAGAGCATTGTGACTCATTACAAGAAAAAGCAGTTGTGAACTTACCGGATGAAACTGTGAACTAGAGAAGCTCTGCTCAACTTTAGCTGGAACATCTTCAACCTACCACTGAAGCTGCGCTTTTTCAACCCATCCTCAAATTTTCCGGGATTTCCTAAACCTAGCTCATTTGCATATCATCGTGCCAAGAGAGCTCGCTTTTCCGAATGAGCCTGCAAACAGGCACTCAGAGTGCCGGCCGTGCTACAGGCTTGTATTAGATTGTCCGGAAATTAATGTCCGTTTTGCATTTCAAACGTAATAAGTCATACACTTCTCAATTCTGAATAGGTTGCAAGGTACCATTCGATAGAGCACAGCTAAGTCTACAAAGTGGCTATCATGATTTTGCAGCGGTCTTTCATTAACCTTGAGTTTCGAGCCAAAACCTAAAAAGATTCAGCTGCCCGAAAAATTGAGAAAAATCGCAACTCAGTTCATAAAAACCCTGCAAAAATCCTAACTAGCTCAAATAAACACTATCCACATAAGACATTATATACGCCGTTGCCGTCTCTTTTCACCTTTAGAAATCAAGAAAACGGAAAATTTTGTGCATTTGCCAAAGTGGTGCTGTGCCGTCCGTACACGAGTAGTTGTGTACAACAAACCTGTAGAAGTATAAACGTAAATTTTCAGCTTTATACAAGCCTTCGTTCTCGAAAAATTTGAATTTTAGCTTGGACAACCTGACTAGGGAAAGCCATAATCAACATCTCTCGAGAACCAAAGCTTGTAGAGAGTTGAAAATTTACGATTGTACTGCTACAGGTCTGTAGTACACAACTACGCATGTGGGGACAGCACAGCATCACTTTGGATAATGCACGAAAATCTCCGTTTTCTTGATTTCTAGAAGGTGGAAAAAGACGGCAACGGCGTATAGAGATGTCTTATGTGGATAGTGTTTACGTGAGCGAGCTAGAAATTTTGTAGGATTTTTATGAGCTGAATTACGATTTTTCTCAGTTTTTCGGGCAGCTGAATTTTTTTAGTTTTTGGCTCGAAACTCGAGGCTAATGAAAACTATCGCAAAAACAATATCGTCATCTTGTAGAGTGTGCTTTGCTCTATCGAATGGTACCTTGCAACCTATCCCGTAATGAAAAGTGTGTGTCTTATTACGGTTGAAATTCAAAACGGACATTAATTTCCGGACAACCTACTAAAACGATACAAGTCATTGGTAAGGTGCCGGGGTCATGTGCACGCACTTCCAAAGGCCATTTTCAATAAGAAAACTCACTAGCACACGTCCGATGCATAGAGGAAGGTAAAGAGCACCCATTTTACTCATAAATCTTTGTTAGGATGTTTTGTATAGGTTTTTATGTAAGGTTTGGAAGAGAGAATTAGAAGTTAGTTTTTAGAACATGCAAAATAAAGTGCTAGCTTGTACTTGTTCTAGGTTTTTGTTTTTTCTATTATCTGGACATCTTGCGACGTGGTCTTTTGATCTACCAATTGTTCATGATAATGCGCTTATTACTTTACAATCTTTGTAGTCTTTGTAGTTTGTGGTCCACTTATACATGCGTCTAAAAGTGAATGATAATTTATTTACCTAAGGTTTACTATCATATATGTGTATATCGTATGTGCAATAAATATAGGTACGAATATAGAAGTTTTCTAGAGTTTACCTTACGCGTGCTCTCCTTCATTGTGCCGTAAACGTACAAGGCCTTGGGGAAGCTAGAAGTCTGTTTTCTCATATTTACTTCCAAATCAAGCGGGATTCAGCTTCCAGTATCTCATTAGGGGCTGTAACGTATTACTGATAATTTTCTCAAACGACATTAGATTACGATAATATCAGTGTTTGTGAGAAGAGAGAAAAAGTCGGGTTAACCTATCCACTTCCATAGTTAGAGCAGCTCTTCTTGAGCGAAGAATCGTTTTCTACTCTGTCATTGATCAGCAGGTCATCGGGTCGCCTAGAATGATCGTCTGTGCTCCTAACACCGTTTCGAAACGTGTAATTTAGGCATTCATCACAGTTTCTTTCGATCTTAGCATAACCGACAAATTTATTTCTATTCTTGTCTTTTCGCGATCTAAGGTTCTGCTCATCTTATTTTCTCAAAAATCAATGGTAATTTATATGTATTTTGCGTAGGTTTCTCATTGTATTTCTTTGCAAAAAGTAGAACTTGCCTTTCTACTTCTATTTCCTTTGCATTTGACTTTTGATAAACATAATGTCATGCATGCATCTGCTTCTGACACATGTGCTTGACCGGATGGGCAGGTTTTCTTGCTGCATCTCTGAATAAACTTATTTCTATAGTTTTGCCAAAAGTGTAATTTTACTCAAAGAAATACAAGTTGACCCGGCATTCAATGAGCTTTGAACACATTTACATACTCCGTTACAGTAAGAATGTGGGTAACCAGCACAGTATTGAGCCTACGAAAATGGCAATTACCCTAAATTCACTCGTATAAGGCGCAATTTTTCGATTTTTCAAGCGAGCCGCTCAGCCGCCTCGTTGTGTTTCGGAAAGAAAATCTTACATCGCACGATTCTCTCAAGCAATATACGGCACGTTATAATGTCCTTTGGTTCTAAAGTCGTTTGGCTTGTCTGGGCTTGTCGATTTTGGAAAAAAATCCGCTTATACGCGTGAAATTAGGGTATTATTTTCTTTATGTATTGTGTAAATGTATTTTATCAATACAATATCGAAATCAATGAAAACCTCAAGGCAACCAGCAACAGCTGCTCGCATAGCATGATTTGAGCCACTTTTTCCGCTGTTCACAAATTCTTTTACAGTTCTTTTTTAGAATGGGGAACGGTAACATTGCCTAGATTATACTTTCAATAAGATCTCATGCCACTCGTTTTTTCCCTAAAAATTGAAGTGCTACAAAAGAAAGTATTAACATCAATAATAACCAATTACCTAAAAAATTTCTATTGAGGTAATAGTTTCTTGTCCTAAGACAAGGAACACTTTCTATTTTGATCGCATGTTGCTCCGGGAGCGTTTTTTGTGAAGAAATGTTTGGAAGTGACATTGTTTACAGCTAAAATAAGTTGCTATAAATTGTACAGCTAACGACGCAAATAAATTTTGGCATTTTAAGAAAGTACCAATAGAGATTGTCCAAGGATCCATGACCCGACCTTGGGTTGTCCCATTATACCCAGAAGTTAAGATTGAAGGTGATACAAAATTCGCATTTGCAATCTCATTCGAAGAATTTGCAAAACTCACGGGTTATGCTAGAAAAGAATTAATTTTGGACATTATAGATGCACGTTTCGACATTTGCTGTATAATTCGACTAATCTAAATTTCTGGGAGCAGTTAGCCAAATCGAATAAAATAAATAATAAAAATTATGAGTATAAATTACAAAATTGGTTTCGGTTTGTTTTTCAGTTAAAGAGAATTAAAGTGGCACTAAAAAGATTTTTATTCCACGAATGTACAAATTCGCTTTCATTATATGGGGTTTGACCGAGGAAAGTTTGCCCATTTTGCATTTGGTAGAAATAAAAATAATTACTCACCAAAGGACAGGAGAGAAAGATGATAAAGCATTGTTCTAGGACAATAGGGTCAAGCGACATTCATCCACGTTTAAGCTTCAGTTCTTGCAAACAAACCATGTATGGTAGCATGTTTGATCACCTATCAAAACAATGTGTCGCATCGGGCCTCAGAAATGTAGGTCCGATTCTGCGCACTACAGTTTGCGCATGATACTCTACTCACTTTATAAGCTGATTGCAAACGATTTTGTCTTATTTTTTGATTTTCTTTGGTTTTTTTAAGTTTTTCGCCCTGAAAATTGAATTTTCTGGATTTTATCTCATTCATGTGATTTTTTTGAGTGAAATCTAGTTAAATAATCAATTGAAGAAAAATTGTACAAGATTTCAATGTACCTACGATGATCATTGGCAGTCCCACGAATGTCTTGTCTAAAAAAGTTGGTGGGGGGGGGGGGGAGAGTAAGTACCCTTTGATTCAACGAAATTGGCGGCTAGAAGGCGACCGTTTGCACCCCAACACAATCTGCTTCTCACTCGCGAGCGTCCTAGGATTA